GGCGACTGCGGGGATGCGCCTTCTCTCCGAGGCCTCGCAAGAGTCCATATACGATCGACCTTTGATCGTTTGGGAAAGGTTTGGGAGAGGAGCTCGCTAGAGACAAGGAAGAGCGGAAGAGAACGGATGCCCTCCCTCCCACCAGGAAGTTAAGGCACCCACATTTTAAGCGTAGCAGATGGAGTTCATCTCCAGCAATCCATCTCTTTCTTTTCCTTTCTCTCTCTCATACCCCCCGCTTTCCCCTCCGTATCGACATAAGCTACATGACACAACACCCCTCCGTGTCCCCTCCCCCCTCGCTCGCCAAGGCGGCGTGCAGAAGGCCCGCCATCCCCCCCGCCGGGTCCGCAAACGACCCTTCCCCTGATCCTCCCCCCAGGGCCTGCACGATCTCAGCGGGTGGTTGACCAAAGTCCTGCGCCTGCGTCATCAGGTCTAACAAAACGCCCATGTCCCTTCCCTCCCCCTCGTCGCCGCCATCCTGACCCTCGTAGACTGCCACTATTTTCTCAAACAACTCGTACTGCGCCCGGTGCTTCTCGTACACACCGTCCTCCACTTTGCCCTTGTTCGACTCCAGCCATGCAGGGAACTGTCTCGTTACCTCCTTTAAGGGAGGGTACATCAAGTCTTTTGTTAGCAATTGCCTCACCATCGAGTCGACCATTGTGTCCGTGGCGCCTTCTTTTCCCCCTCCTTTTTCTCCGTCTCCTTCTCCCGCCCCGCTTTCAAAACCTGCCCCAAGTTTATCGAATTCTGCCACCAGTTTGCTCAAGAACGCGTCGTCGAACGTGTCCTCTTTCCCTTCTCCCTCTTTCCCTCCCTCGCCTCCTCCCATTTTGCCCAACATTTCGATGGTCCTAGCTATGGTTTCTTTCAGGTCCTTCTCTTCATCTTCATCCGTCCCTATACCAGTAGACGCTGATGATGCGACCGTAGAGGTAGACTTCGGGGTGCTTGTTCCTGCACCTGTAGCTTCAACAGGGACGGCAGCCTTGCTTTTCACACTCGAGTTGGGAGCGTGTGACGTTGAATGGGCGGCTGAATGGATTTCCTCTTCCTCTTCTTGATCCAGTTCGTCGAGAGCATCGTTGAGGATGTCATCAAGGTCCTCCGTTTCTGCCATGCGGGGGACGGGTACTGCGCTGAAGATGGCCTGAAGGAAGCCCGACCTGAGAAAGCTGTATTTTGTTGCGCCCGTTTTGGTTGCCAACCTGTTGTCCGGCGCGTGAAGACCGAAAAATCAAGTGAATACGAGCGCAATATGTGAAGGCAGAATTCTAGCGTTGGAGGAAAGGACGGAGGAAGGGAGACATGCTTTGCTTCTCAGTGGGTACAGCACAGCAGCCTGGTTCCACTTGAGATGTGCCGGTCGCTCGGATTGCCCTCGAACACTCTCTTTGATTGCCCTCGAACACCACGAGGGCATCCCCCGGCTGTCAAACAGGCATTTTTTCGCGTCAGGCCTACTTGCTGCCTTTGATATTCCCCACAACATTGCTTCCGCGAACCGGTGAGTATAAATCATATTTATCTTGCCTATCGCTTGTTTCTCCTCACTGAAGAAAAGCACCAGTTGTTACTCTTTTTTGGGCGCCTCTAACGCCTCGCGTCCGGTGGTTCGTGATGTATGCACTTAACACGGAAAATACAGTTATAAAAGCAAAACGGATGTCAAATTCCTTATATGATGCGGTGCGGAATTCATCCTCAACGATGTGCTTGGCTCGCATTTGATCGTATGCATGCCAATACTAATTTCAAAGTAGGCGTGAAATTGACCAAACGAATAGCGCAACGGCAGATACTAAAACAAAAATCCGACCATTTATGCCAGGAACTCAAACGATTGAAGCTCTCACTCTGTTTAAAAGCGATTTACAAGTACTTTCTCTGTGGAAGAATATATTTTGAAGGTGATTTCGACGACTTCCTAGCCTACTGTGCTCCTCCTGTGTCCCTATCCCCCGTTGGTGTATATAAATAGTAAGGAGACGCAGCACTTACACCGCGTCGGATCCATTGTGTTGTAATGCGTTTGTTGCCTTCCACTAGCGGACAGCCACTATGCTTGGTGTACCCAACGTCCATGTAATCATCGGGACCTCGATAGTGAAAAAAAGCAGCCTGACCAGCCTTTCCCTTGAGCATGATATCAGCGTTGGTAAAGCTAGTCTGTCCCCCTCGTGCGCCTTCCTCGCAGTAAAGCACCATTGTGGCTGCCCGTCCCCCTCTTACAAACTTGCTGGAATCACAGTATCCATCACAATGCATGCGATACTCATCACCAGAGGCGTCGTACACTATCGCGTTCAAAGACTCCTGACCTGCCAAATCAAAACTCTCGTAACCCCCACAACCGTGCTCATTTGCAAAAGCAAAAACACGACGTTGCAATGTTGCCAGGATATCTGTCGGGTCCTTCAAGTCCGGAGAGATGCTCGCCGACTTGGCCTTGCGTACAGACGAGATAATTCTTTGCCCCGGGAGCTCACCTGAGACCGAGGCATGAATCAAGCGACCACTGCTCCGGTTTTTCAAAGCCGCACATTCTGAAGGACTGATGATGTCGTGCAAAAGGTAAATGCGTGCGTTCCCCCACTCGCTGTCGAAATAGTGGTCGACGCGGACGGTTTTATTGTTTGGAGTGGCCCCGGAAACCGGGGAAGGTGAATCAGTCGCCCCAAATTTGTCTTCCGGATATGTCCAATACGTCACCTTCATATCCTCAGGTCCCATGGTTTCGTGATGTAGGCAGGCATAGTCTCGATAAGGCTCTTGCAGCTCGTCTCGCTCTGTCATGCTCTTTTGAATACTTCGCTGAATTCGAGCAAGTTTGCCACGGTAAAGGGCGTCCACGATACATGATGCTTCGCCTCCACATTGTTTTAGGGCTTCCTTCACCTGCTGTCCGGTGACACTTTTATGGTAAGTTGCCGGGGGCTTGACAAGGGGAGGAGGTTGCTCTATCGGGAAGGCCGCAACCGTCTTCCTCGAGGCTGACTCTTCATGCTTCTTGACAATAACGTCTGCCGTTATATCGTTTGATGAAACTACATCAAAGGCTCCGGAATCATGATGCACAATGATATTGGGCGCCTTGCTGTGATCCAAGTGATTATCAGGAACTTGGGAGATTAACAAGCGATGGCCGACGAATGAGTTCAGCTTGAAGCTCTGCCCCTGAGACATGGTATTCAGTAAAATAAAACTACCCCTCTCTGGGTGCAACCAGTAAATATATATAGCTCCACCCGCTTGATTACTGATCTGTAGTTGGACATTCGCTTCGAGGGGCGGGGCGGTGACATCAGAGGATGTGGATGCACCTGTGGACTCGTTGTGTTGCTTTCCTCTCCCATCCTTCGGCGCATCGATTTCGCCGCCCAAATCTAAATCTTCGAAAATGAGCTCTTCTTGGGATGAGTCCGAAGCACGGACACGATGCCTCTTCATTTGCTGCAGGAAGTTAGGACGGTCCAACGGGCCAACCACATGCCCCTTTCCAGTCAGCAAAAAGCCGTGACCTTGAAACGTTTGAATAACTCCACTTGTTCCCTTCGGGATTGTGGAGATTCGGGTGTACGTGCCGCCGCTATTCTCGTCTCGCCAGTACACGTCCAAATCGACAGAGGCTTGATTCAGCAGCTCCATCTCAGCAGCTTCCGCGGCGACCAGGTTAACGATTGAGCCAATCGAAAAAACCGCTCCTGCAATACCAGCGGCCAGTGAGGCCAGGGTGAGCCTCATCCTATGGCTTTGTTATGTTCGGTGGTTTTGCGTGAGTACGTGAACGTGAGTAGACGAACCGGCGAGCACAGAATTACACAGAATTCCAGAGGTACGATGGGCCCAAATCAGCATCCGAGCGATCGCCATAAATAACCATTTTAAAGTGGACTTCTGACTCGATTCCTCTCGAAGTATGTCCGAACCAAGGATTAATGCACATTGATTTTTGAATTGACCTGATTTCTAGGGGAATAACGGGGCAGACACGCTTTTCTGCATACGAACATGCGCCCAGACCATATGGCAATAAGTGCGAGAGCGAGAAACATCACATAGCATAACATGTGCAGACTGCGCACAAAGCCAAAAAAACACACCGAAAACCGAGTAGGAAATTGCACTTTAAACATTGTGAATTTTAATTTTTTTGATTATATGTGTCAAAGTAGAGCCACATTCAATGGTTATCGATTTGGCTTTCTTGGCTTTTAGGACCATGGGTGCCCGTCGCGGGGCGAGCGGCCGAGAAACAGCAAACTTGATGAAGACACTCAGGCCCTCGCTGCCACGTACTCAGCAATTCAACATCCTACCAACCCTATTCCTCACTGGCCTGGTTGTGGAACGAGGACACTTTTGGGTGTATTTTTTCGTTCTCTTTCGACGTTTGGTCCCCTGTTTCAATTGTTGTAGAGGGAAAAGGACATGTCCTGACCTGGGAAAGGGATTGGCAAGCAGTGCATGCGAGGTCCACGACATAGTGATCTTGAAGATCTGGCCTCCTTTGTCCCATTGCCGCGCGTTAGTTTCTGGTCTTCCCAATCTCACACAGCATTTCAATATATTTAATCCAGATGTCGTGTTACACTGGCCCGGAGGTGGACTCGCCTTTGCAAGATGACCACAAGCCAAAGCGACAGCAGAGACGGACCAGGCCGGTGCCCCGTTTGCCTAGCGCTAATCCCGTACATCAGCCTGTTACTGCCAGGCGCTCAGGGGGCATTGGGCAGAACTCTATGACGACGTACATATGTAAATGGACATTGGCGTGGCCGATTCTCCTAGTGACGTGTTGTGCGATGTCAATATGCCTTCCCAGAGGGTTGGCTGCCGCGGCGGTAGGCTCTTCATCCTCCTCTGCTTCCTCCATCATCTCTTTACACGTCCTCGACCGCATAAGAAATCAGATAGGACTCGCCTGGGCACCGCCTCCAAACAATTACAACGCTCATCATCCGCAGCCATCGCAGCAAGACGCCATGCAACCGCAAGCGTTCGAAGGCAGTCCCGAGCAGATTCACCACCTTGAATGGGGGGCCGGGGGCGTCACTTCACAAGAATTGCCCGCTTCGCCCGGCAATATCGGTATGCGAGAAGGAATGGGCAAGGGTGTAGAAGAATCGCACCAGTACGCCGTGGTGATTGACGGCGGGAGCACGGGGAGCCGGATGTTTGTCTACCGTTTCTTCTACCCGGGGCGAGGGGCCAAACGAGAAATCGAGTGCATTGCCAGCAAGAAGGTGACGCCGGGTCTTAGCGCTTTTGATGGGCGCCCGGAGGAAGCCTCTGAATACATGCGGCCCCTTTTTGAGCATGCCGCGGCTGTGATTCCCGGGGTCTACCAGAGCGAGACCCTAGTGTTCCTGCAGGCGACTGCGGGGATGCGCCTTCTCTCCGAGGCCTCGCAAGAGTCCATATACGATCACATATACATGGATTTAGCCCATCCGGAGGGGGACAAATTGCCGTTTCCCTTCCGCTTGTATCGACGGAACGTGGGCACCTTGTCCGGGAGATTGGAAGGCTTTTACGCCGCCTTATCGGTGAACTACCTGACTGGCCGGATCGACACCCATTTGGAACGGGAGTCGGTCGGTGCGACGGAAGGCGGGGACGCAGAGGACACAGGAGGGGGCAGTTTGGCACCGATGGAGGGTGAGGATGTCGGAGGGTCCACTGGAGGCGGCAGTGCCTCCAGGGAAACCAGGCGTGGCCCGACCCAGACGTTGGTCGGGGCCTTGGACCTGGGGGGTTCCTCGACGCAGATCGTCTTCCAGCACATGGAGGACACGGGAGGGGCGCTGGACGAGTCAGATTTCTGGGTCCAGTCCTACTTGGCCTACGGCGTGGATACTATCCGGTATCGGCTGTGGTCCTTCCTGACCCGCCACGTCGCCCCCATGGATCCGGCCCTCGTCGCAGGAACCGCCGTGGAGAACCCCTGCGCATTCGCGGGGCATGAGGAGTGGTTCAAAGGCCACCGCTTGGTGGGCACGGGGCAGGCCAACCTGTGTGGGAAGGAGATCCGGCGGATGCTCTGGGACGAGGAGCACGAGAAGTGCACCCCCCTCCAGCCCTGTGGCTTGGACGGGATCGAGCACCCGCCGTTGACGGGGCAGTTTCTGGCCATGTCCGTCTTTTTCTTTGCGTTGGACTGCATGAAACAGCTGGGACCCTCCGACTTGCCGCACTGGCCCTCGCCCAGCATCGACGAGATAGAGAAGGCCGCTGCCCGTTTCTGCGCGCAGTCTTGGAGCTCTCTGAACACGACCGCCACCAACCACGCCTTCACGCGCGACGATCTTCTGCCCTACCGATGTGCGGAGGTGGTGTACATCCACACGTTGCTTAAGCACGGCTATGGCTTCCCCGGGGACTCCAGGGACGTGACTTTCGTGCTCGACATTGAAGGGATGGAAGTGGAATGGACGTTGGGGTTTGCGCTCTCCGAGGTCCCTCTGGACCAAGAAGAAGCCGAATTGGGCACAGCAGCGACACCCGTGCACCACCATGTGTATCTGGATGAAGCGGACAAGGAGGAAGAGCATGAACAAGCAGCGGTGGAGGCCAGAAGGCGACGAAGGGTCGGTGATGGGAGAACCGGGGGAAAAAGTGTTAACATGGACCTGCCGGAGGAGCAGCCAGAATTGCGTGGGTGTGAAGACATGGAAGGGAGGGGACAAAGGGTGCAGGGAGAACCGCCACGGTGGGAAAGCGGATGGCAAAGCCTCACGTTCAATCTCTCCGAGTTCCACCGACTCGCGCGCGCGTGGCATCCACAAGTGGGAGGGGGTCTGAGGTCAGGGACTTGGTCCTGGGTGGAAATAGGCGCATGCATGGTGTCCTCAGTAGGAGTATGCTTAGCGATAGCATTAATTTTGGTGTATGTGCGGGGGGACAGGGATTGGTCGCTTTGCTCCCCCAAATCGACGCCGCCCGCGTCCCCGGTAGGGCGACGGACTAGGCAGGGATGCGTCAAGGAAGTGTGGGAGCCGCATGAGAAGGACGCCAGAAAAGCAGAGTTGTCGCCCATGTGACAAATTTGCAACAGTGACGATTTTAAGAAAGGGAGCGCGCATCTTGCTGTGCAAAGCCAGAAAACAGTACGAGAGATGCGCTCAAAAATCTGAGGAGAAAAGATCGACAAAATTGCATAATGTCCCCACAAGGACGAAGGAAGAAAATGTTGTACAGTGGATATTACTCGCCTGTGTGTGGGCAATGACTGACGGTCTGAGTGAAAGTGATGATGATTGTATAAGATGCAACCCCAAAGAAAAAGCTAAAGGTTCGAAGGTTGCTAGACGAATTAATATTTGACTGTTCCATTTATTTTCATTGATACGAACCGACTTATAAAGGCTACGTCGGTAGCTTCTTTCTTATACTTTTCCAACTATCGATTTGTATTGACAAGTGAGCGAACGTGAAAGGTCGAGCTCGACCTCTGTACAGACACGCCCTTTAAAACGCCCATTTCCTATCTCGTGCTTCCTTTTTCTAATTACAAACGCCTCAACGCTCACATACTTTCTTCAGTAGCTGCGTTATTGCACCTCAACTATTAGTTTGCGTCGACTTCTGCATCTTCAATTTTTTGGATCTAGGGCCGCAATGACGATCGCAAATGTGGAAGGGGGCTCGTTCCTTTTTTCAAGAGATGAACCAACTCGTTCATCCTCTCTTTGTTCTCACTCTGCCAAAAATACTCGCGCGCGATGCTCTTCATCCTGGCCAACCGCTCAGGTTTGGTTTCGTCCAAAGGGAAAAATTCCGTCTGCGGGTTGAAGCGGTAGTATTTGCTTTTGGGCAGGAACGCCGACAAAGTCTGATGGGTCACCTCCGTATTTGTCGCACAGTTGATCAAGTCGTTGACGATCCCTTCCCATCCGTAGCCGCCATCCGCCTTCCGATTGTCCACGTGCACGCCCGTGCCAATCGACACGACGCATTCGACAGGTACACCTGGATACAGGGTACGCACTTCGTTCAGGGCTACCGCCGTAGGATTATTCGCAAGGAAAGCCCCGTCGCAATACTTAGCGTCCTCCCTCTCCAGGGGTGAGAAAAATGTGGGCGCGGCGGTTGTAGCTCTGAGGGCATCTCGAACCATGACACGGAACGAACCGCTGTGCTTTGGCTCGTGATCTGGACCGTAAGCATAATTTCTGCATGTTTGTGAACCAGATAATGGCCAAATCAGAAAAAAAGGGCATTTCAGGTCAAAAATATGATGGAATTGCACACACATGGAACAGATAGATTGTCCCGTGTACGTAAGGAGAAGACCGCATCGACTCACCTCCAAATATAAAGCGATGCTGGGTTGGTCTTTAGGGACAAGGAAGCGCAAAAAACCTTGGGTGACAGAGGCCCTTCCCCCATCGAATCGATCATCAAATTGTCTCCAAGCATATCCTGGAGCACCTGCTCCCACACGACCTCGTCGTAGTAGCTTGTGCGCAGCAGGAGCTTCGTGGTTTGGATCAGGGGGGAAGAGGCAAAGATCTTGCTGACCAGCTTGTCGTACAAGGCCTCCGCCTCGTCGACGGTCCGGCGCTCAATCCCAAAGAGAACGGCCAGTATCCCTCCCGTGCTTGTCCCGCAGATGACGTCAAACGTCTCGAAGACGTCTTTGCCTACACGCTTCATCACCTGCTTCAGGAGC